TGCTCCCAGTTCTCAGGCCTTCAGATTTGGACAAGGACTCACACCATTGGCTTCCCGGGTTCTCAGGTTTGAACTGGAACTACATCACCATATTTTCTAGATCTCCAGCTTGCAAACTACAAATCATGGGAATTCTCAGCCTCAATAATCACCTGAGCCAATCCCTCATACTAAATCTCTTCATGTATATCTACATATGTTCTACTGGTTCTGCTTATCTGGAGAACCTTGAGTTACTGTTCTGAAATCACCTTACTCTCTTTTATACCGGATCATCTTTGAATGTACTTTGGCTATCTTCCAAATTTTGATGACACTCATTTTCTTTCTTTCTTTCTTTTTTTTTTGTCACCTTGAGTAGAGTGCTATGGCATCATAGCTCACAGCAACCTCAAACTCTTGGGCTCTAGTGATTCTCTTGCCTCATCTTCCCAAGAAGCTGGGACTACGGGCACCCACCACAATTTCTGGCTATTTTTAGGGATGGGGTCTCACTCTTTCTCAGGCTGGTCTCCAATCCGTGAGCTCTGGCCATCCACCCACCTCGGCCTCCCAGAGTGCTAGGATTACAGGTGTGAGTCACCATGCCCAGCCTGATGACACTCATTTTCTAATAGCTCTTAAGAAAGGACAACATTCTTAGGAAAAGTCAAACTGCTTTAGAACATACATGCCTAAAATATTGTTTATTATATCTTCACACATAATTGATAATTTGTTTGGTGTGTTGGGCTGACCTTTGTCCCTCACCTCTCAAAAAATATATGTTTAAGTCCTAATCCAAAGTACCTCAGAATGTGACCTTATTTGGAGATAGGGTCATTGCTGATATACTTCATTAAGGTGAGTTCATATTGGAGTAGTTTAAGCCACTAGAGGTGCAGAACCTGTGGCCTCAAGGTCCTATGTGACCCTCCAGATCTCCAAGTGCAGCCCTTTAACCAAATCCACACTTCACAGAAATCCTTTTACTGTAAAAGTTGAATTCACTCAAAAGCCCACACAGAAGGCCCCATGTGGCTGCAAGGTTACAGGTTTTCCACCCCTGCAAGACCACTGTTCTTATACCTGTAAGAAGATGTGTAGGTGAAAACAGATACTTGTATATAGGAGGAATGCCATGTAACAATGAAGGCAGAGATTGAAGTAATGTAGCTACAAGCCAAATAACACCAAAGATTGCCAGCAAACTAACAGAAAGCTAGGAAGAGATAAGGAAGGATTCCCCTACAGTTTCAGATGGAGCCTGCATCTTGATTTCTGAGTTCTAGCCCCAGAACTGTGAGAATAAATATATATTTTTTGAAGTCACTCAGTTTGTTGTACCCGTTACAGCATCTTAGAAATCAATACACTTGGGGCGGTGCCTGTGGCTCAAAGGAGTAGGATGCCAGCCCTATATACTGGAGGTGGCAGGTCTAATTTGGAAAAATTTTTTTCTAAAAATTTAATTCTTCTCTGTGTCCTGGTTTCCAGTGCTGCTGAGGAAAAGGAGAAAGCTGTCCTGATTTTCAGTCCTTAAACTATGGCTTTTTATTCTTTATGGAAATTTTTAGGATTTCATACCTATTCCTGGAATTCTAATATTTCAGTATGATTGTAATTTACTAAAGACAGAGAAAGGACCACTCTGTAGGAATGGACCACAGAAAACAACCTACAATCCCAGTTCCTGCCAGTCAAAGTAAAAAAAAAAAAAAAAAAAAACCCATAATTACATGAGGCATAGGGTAAGAAACTTAGAAGGGCATTGCCTTAGTAATAGAATACAATTTGTCCTACACAAAAGGTTGAATAGGTTCTACCTAACAAAGCCTACAATCAAGCCTCAAAAGAACAAAATAGTTTTCAAGTAAGTAAGTTTTACAATGCCTGGAATCCTCTTTAAAAGAAAAAAAAGTATGTATGCAAGAAGCAGAAGATTATGAACCATAATGAAGAGAAAAATCAATAGAAACTGTGCCAGAAATAGCATAGATGATAGAATTAGTAGACACAGACATTCAAATTGTCATTATAATTGTATTATATATGTTTAAGAAGCCATAGGAAATATTCAGCATGTTATATAAAGATACAGAAGATGTAAACACACCCCACTAAATCAAACTGCTGGAGATAAAGCTACGATGTATGACATGAAGAATGAACTGGATGAGTTCCGGAGACTATTAGATATAAAAAATCAACAAACAGACAACCCATAGAATGGGAGAAAACATTCATAATCTATGAATCTGAGAAAGGGCTAATATTCAGAATCTACTAAGAACTCAAAAAAAATCAGCAAGAAAAAAGAACTCATCAAAAAGTGGGCAAAAGACATGATCAAAAGTTTTTCAAAAGAAAATGGATAAATTGCCAACAAACATCTGAAAAATGTTCAACATCACTAATCATCAGGAAAATGCATATTAAAGCCACAATGAAACACCACCTTACCCCTGTCAGAATGACCACTATTAAAAAGTCAAAAACCAAATGGTGGCATGGATAAAGAAAGAAGGAAAGCTTATACACTGTTGGAGGAACTAAAAATTAGTACAACCTCTACAGAAAACACTATGGAGTGTTCTCAAAGAAATAAAGGTTGACTTACCATTCAATCCAGTAATCCTACCATTGGGTATACCAAAAGGAAGTCATTTTACCAAAAAGACACCAGCACTGCCTTTGTGTAACGTTTATTACAGCACAATTGTAAAAATGTTGAATCAACCTAAGTGCCCAACAATGTGGTATTCATGTACCATGGAGTACTACTCAGCCATAAAAAGGAATGAAATAATATCTTTTTGCAGCCACTTGATGGAACTGGAGACCATTACCCTAAGTGAAGTATCTCAGGAATGAAAAACAAAAACAAATACCACATGCACTCACTAATAATTGGGAGTTAAACAATGGCTACACACAAGTAGAAAGACATGTAAAGGACACTGGAAATCAAGCAAGGGCGAAGAAGCAAGAGGGGTGAAGGTAAAACTTTCCATCAGGTACAATGAACACTATGCTAGTGATGGGCACACTAAAAGCCCCAACTTAAGCATTATGCAAGGTATCCATGTAACTAAAATATTTGTATTAATGTTAATACAAATATTGATATTTTGGAATAAAAAAGATATTTAAAAAGATTAGTGAACTTGAAAATATAACAATAAGAATTATCCAAAAGGAAATAGAGAAAATCTTGTGAAAAACAAAATGAACAAAGCATCAGTGAGCTGTGAGATGTCAGGTGGCTGAGTGTACATGTACTAAATGGCTCCACTAGTCCCCAAACGAGAGGAACAGAAGGATTGGGAAGGAAAACTACTTGACTAAATAAGGGCAATGTTTCTACTTGTCTTGCTCCACCCTGTATTCCTATTGAGGCACTTGGTAGGCATTAGACATTTAAATAACATTTACTGAACACATTTGACAGAACAAAGTGAGATGAGTATGAGATGAACACCTGAGTGCTATTTCAGGGTATTAGGGCCACCCAGAACAAAAATGGGCAACAATATGGAGAATAAGAAATCTTACCAGAAGTGACATGTCTTCAGTGGGGACCTGGGGCAACTGGTTAAGTGGGTACAAAATTTGGAGAACTGAAGAATAAGAAGAGAGGACCAAGGGCATTCCACATAAGAACAACAAAATGAAGTCTTGGAAGCAGTAGTAAACATGGTTTTGAATATACCACTCTGCCTAAAGTAATGGCTGGACTTAGCAGTAATGAGAAATGAGGTTAATTGGATGAGAGTATGCAAGGTTTTAAAAATAAGAAAAGAAGGTTGGCACAATGCTTCACACCTGTAATCCTGCCCTCCATTGTAGGAGGATTGCTTGAGCTCAGGAGTTTGAGACCAGTCTGAGCAAAAGCGAGATCCCCATCTCTAAATACAAAAAAAAATAGGGGGTATTGTGGCCAGGGCTTATAGTCCCAGCTACTCCAGAGGCAGAGGCAGAGGCAGAGGACCCCTTGAGCCCAGGAGTTTGAGGGTGCTGTTAGTCTGATGCCACACTGCACTCTAGCCTAAGTGACAGAGACCCTAAAAAAAGAAAGAAAGAAAGAAAAAGAAAAAGGAAAATGGAGAGAAACCACTGAAAGTTTCTGAACACAACTTGTAATGATGAAATCAGGGTCCAAGGCGGGTGGGGAGCATGGTAGTGACATTTATGGTAGATTAGAACCAGAAAGCATTAAAGTTGAAGGGTAAGTGAGGGCCAGGGGGAACACGGGTGCAGATTATTAACCCTGTCATTCAGTGTTAAAAGACTGGATATGAAAGCACCTAACGCGGTATCAGAACAGACTAAGGGCTTGGATAAATATTACTCAAATTCATATACTAAAATTTTTCTTGGTTCATGAAATTTTCAAAAGTGGCACTAAGAATCCATAATGCGTTGTTTTTCACTCCATAATATTTCGTTTACATTAAGATTTCAAATCAACTTCTTAAGTCCCTCACCAGGCTATGTTTCATGCTCTCAAACAGATCTGAAAGAAAGATTCAAGCCTTGGATTTTTTAAATTAAAGCCATGCTGCCACAAAATAATTTAAAATAAGTCATTTACACATTTGTCATGGAATCTTAGAATTCAAAAAGTCAAAGGACCTCGGAGATAAGTTCTCTTCCAGCACAGATGAAAAAACTGAGGCCAAGAGTAGGTTAAATGAATAGCCAGAGGGTATCAAGCTGCCAAGGGTCAAGCTGGGTCTGGAAACCAGGCTACTGGACTCTTCTACCGGGAGCCAAAGGTTCCCAGAGGGATGGATAAGGCGTGAAGCCCGAGTCAGCGAGCTAGGGTCGGGGAAGCAGCTCTTTACAGCCGTAGGAGGCAAAGGAACCTCGCTCCCTCTGAAGGATCTTGAGCAGGTGCCCTCACCCCGAAGGGTGCCCGCGAAGTCCCAAACCGCCCTCCTCCTCTCGCGATACTTGCCTCTCTTCGCTTTTCCGGCTCCCCCAGACCCCGCCCCTCCACCGCAGCCCTTCTGTCGTCATTTCCTGTGGGTCTGAAGGCTAAGAGAGAAGATGGCGGCGTTGGGAGAACCCGTGCGGCTGGAGAGGGGTAAGTGTGTCCGAGGCTCGGACTGAGATGGGTGTAGGGGTGGGAAAAGTAACATGTCGCTGGAGGGGAGTAAAGGTGGCCCAGGCTCCGAGGCCTGGAGCCAGACTGTCCTTCGCGCTGGCGCCGGAGATCGTGGGCGTCCGTTCGTCCCGCTCCGGGGAGGGAGCTTACAAGGTCTTTTAATTGATACCCAGACCCTTTTTGTGTTCACACGGACGTCCTGGGGCATAGTCCAGCGAACACAACCTGCCCGAGTTGACATACATCGGCTGTACTTGTGTTTTCTGGGTGGGCACAGCAGAGGAGGCATTCAGAGACCTGTAAACGCGAAAAGCGAACGTCACACACCCGTTTCGGACCAACTACATTCATTGCCTCTACGTACGCAGGCACAAACCCAGTGCCTCCGATTTCCCCCACGTATCACACACGCAGTACATTTCCACAGACACTCCCCCCTTGTTTACACCCAGAGTCCTTAATTACTTTCACCACAACCTCAGTTGTATTTGGATTGGGGTATTTGCTCTCTTTGGTGCCCCGCCCAGGAATGGAGAGGATGCTTTAAAAAGAATCCTACTGATTTAGTCTTGGGAAGGAGGTTATGCAAGTAGCCTGAATAGTGGTAGATTGTAAAACATTTGCAGGTGCGGTGTTATTCATTCTTTGCAAAGCCTATAATCGCAAACTGTGGTTGGTTAATTGCTTTTTAGAGCGGGCTGTCAAGGAAAATAAAACCTGTTCTGCTGAGTAATTAGAGACCGACAAGCCAGGATCCTGTTACAAATTGGTACAAATTTCCGGATTTCATTCTGCGCCCCCCATCCTTTATTTCAAGGAGTTTTAAGCATGCTTTTGACACAGCATTAGAAGTCACTGAAAGGATTCAGAAATACAAGTATACATTTTGAGTACTAGTGGTAAAATATAGGATGGACATTGAAATTGTATCGCACTTAATTAACATTTACAGTTACAGTTTGAATATTAATATCCTTCTCTAAGAAAATACTTTTTTAGAATTACTGTACTTAGAAATCTCTTTCCTCATGCCTTCCCACAAACAAATGTGCGCTGAACGTTGTAAATTTGCTCCTTATGGTGTTCATTATTCGAAAGCGTTTCCCTTCATCCTACCAGGCCATTAATTAAAGCATCATTTTATGACACAGGAGTAGTTATTCTCGGAAGACTTGCTAAGTTAGAACTAAACCTGTGACCTCTTTCTCCTGAGCACAGAGGCACTGTGCTTTACAGATGAGAACAAATCTGTTTGCTGTTAAGAGGAGTATGTGTTTTTGTTTGAAACTAGTTGTAGGATTCTAACATGTCGATGTTCTTTGTATTTTTAAGTGAAGCACAAAATGTGGAACTTCACTTCTCACGTTTAGTTTTGGTACTCATGACTTTGTTTTTACTTTTTTGAGTTATTTTCAGTTCTACAATAGAATTAAGGGGTTGGCTCCTCAATAGGATAAATTACATGGGTTCCACATCCATAAATTTAGCCAACTGCAGATCAAAAATTTGAGGGGAATAAAAACTTGCATCTGTACTGAACATATACAGACTTTTTCCCCGCTGGTCATATTCCCTACACAATACACTATAACAGCTATATAGTATTTACATTGTATTAAGTATTGTAAGTAATATAGAGATGATTTTAAATATATGGGGTTATTTGCATAGATTATATGCAAGTACCCTGCCACTTTTTATCAGGGACGTGAGCATCTGCAGATTTTGGTATCCATAGTATATGAGGTAGGTCCTAGAACCATTCCCCCAAAGATAACGAGATAACTGTACCAGCCATTTAGCAGAATAAAAAGGTCAGATGATATCAACTCTAATTCTCACTTAGTATTCTAAGAGACACTACTAACAAATGCTCCCAACAATCCTACAGTGAATAATTAGTACATCTTATAAAAATCGCATACACATGATTTAGTGTCTTCTGATTCATCAAAACATTGAGTGGAGCACAACTTGAGCACACATTAGGTGCAGTTTATGTTTAGTAAGGAGTATTTAACTTTTTACAGTATTTTTGTTAATTGGAAATTTTTATATGGCTTACATGTTGTAGCTATAAATCGTGATAATTGATGCCTCCATTTATCAGCCATTTGTGTGGTGGGAAATCAAAATGGGGAATGATTAACAGTTTTAACCTGTTTTTACCTGAAAGAAAAATTTCCCTGTCCTTTATTTTAACATGAAATTAGGAACAACTTCCACTTAAATCAAAAGAGGTAAAGGAATAGTAGATACTCTGGCCCCCCTGGGGGTACAAAAAGGGTATTTGAAAAAAATCATAGTAGAGATAGTCATTAACAGGGTTATGACCTTGATTCTTCTGAAACTTCATAAAACACTTATCTTCACACTTCCCAGTGAGAACTAACTTGCTTCTTGCTATGTATGTTGTAAAAATATATATAACTCCTTAATATTTCTTGATTCACTGGTGCCTGTGTGAATATAACATTTATGTTTGCTGGGCCCTTTTTTATGTATTATTGGTTGCATCATCAACTGAACTTACAAATTCCTCACTCTTATGGAGAAGATACTGTTATTTCCATTTTACACTGAAAGAAACTGAGTCATGAGGATGTTAAATAACTTTCCCATGATCACACAGGTACTATGAAGACCAGATTAACAAAGCTAATTTTTTTTGTTTTTCTCTTCTGTAAACCTGTGTATTCAATTGAACTTGTCTGAATTAAGTCATTGTGTTAATGATGCTAAGTTGAAAACAAACCAGTTGATTTTTGTTTGTGTTTTTTTAATTCGTTTGTACTGCTCTTTGTGTGTGTCCCAATCACTTGCTGCATCTGTTATTGAACAGTTGCTATCTGCATATATATCATGTTTCCTTCAGGAAAGGAACAGTGATTTCACTAGTGTGTCTTGTGCTGTCCAGTGCTTTCATTACTGATAATGATAATTAGGTAAATTTTTTTGACTAAATAGTTTCTGATATTACGGCCAGCTTTTCTGAAGGAGTGTAATGTTCGTGTGTCTGTCACATTTGAGCCCCAGTCCTTTCCTGTGACAGTCACTATTTTGTATTCAGTTCTCCTGTGCCTCTCATAGATGTTGTTTTCCAAATTTTATATCTCTACAACATCAATATTTTTTCCTTTAGCGTTCTTCTCAGATTTTACATTCCCACCCTCCGTGTACACACTCACAGTCTTCCCCCACAGACGTGTTGTGTACTCACACTTATTTTCGTTCTATCTTCCACATATCTCTTGTTAGTCCTTGAAGAAAGAATTCTGTTATACTCTTACATAGGCATTGAGAGAATCCTCAGAGAAAATTGTCTATTGGTGTGTGTGTTTAACTCTAGATATTTGTAGAGCAATTGAATTGTTGGAAAAACTACAAAGGAGTGGAGAGGTGCCCCCACAGAAACTTCAGGCTTTACAAAGGGTCCTTCAAAGTGAGTTCTGCAACGCTGTGAGAGAGGTGAGTAAATGCGATTAAGGTTTACTAAAATTTTGAGTTAATTAGGTAAGATAATACTCTGAAATTTGGGTTCAGAATTTAAGAAAATAAACTTTAGAGAACATTAGAACCTATCCCTTTCATTTTTGGAATTCTAATAGAAAAACGTTTTACAAAGATACATAACTTTGCCTAAAATTTTAACACATTAATTTCACAAAAGATTCACATGTGGCATATTCGTAGATTTAAAATACGATGACAACTCTGGGTTTTACAGGTATATGAACACGTCTATGAGACTGTGGACATCAGTAGCAGTCCTGAAGTGAGAGCTAATGCAACTGCAAAGGTACAGTTTTTCAGTTCACTAAAAGTGAGAATCATGCATTAATTAAAGGTTTAAAATAGTTACTAGATTCATAATAAGCTTATTTTGAAAACTAACATTTATCTTTTAAGCTACACTAAACTTCTCAAGTACCAAGAAGTAGGACTTTTTTTATTGGCTGTACATAAGGTGTTTCATCATGCAGTTTAGATAATGGGTTGAAAATGTATTTGCATACAAATAATGTATGTCATGCAATACATAAGTGTGTTGCATACGTTATATATATTATACATGTAATCCATAAATTTTCATCAAATTCTGAGGTATGAATGATTTTTATTGATCAGGACACATCAAGATTAGGTTATTACCCCAAACCACACAAAGAGTAAGTGAATGGTAGACTAGCGTGCTTCCCAGGTTTCTCTTTACTTTCTTCTTTTCCCTAACTCTGTAACTGTGGTGTAATGTCAGTAGTAGGTTACCTCTTCAAGCTACAGGTGGCAGGCTTATGTGCATTTTTGTGCCAGTATTTTCCTCAAATAATGTAGGCATTGACTTAATGTCTGTCATATGTGGTTAGAATAAGTTAATATTAGGAGTAGGTGGACCTGTATTATAATTAGTCTCCTGTGCAGTGGTTCTCAACCTTCCTTTTTTTTTTTTTTTTTTTTTTTTTTTTTTTTTTTTTTTTTTTAATGGAGACAGAGTCTCACTTTGTGTCCTTCAGTAGGGTACATAGCTCACAGCAACCTCTGCCAACCCCTGGGTCCCTGGGTTTAAGTGATTCTCTAACCTCAGCCTCCCAAGTAGCTGGGATTATAGGTGCCTGCCAGAACACCTGGCAATTTTTGGTAGAGATGGGGTCTCACTCTGGCTCTCACTCTGGCTCTTGCTGGTCTCGAACCTCTGAGCACAGGTGATCCACCCACCTCAGCCTCCCACAGCGGTGGGACAACAGGCACGAGCCACCATGCCTGGCCGGTTCTCAACGTTCCTAATGCTGCAGCCCTTTAATACTGTTCCTGTGCGTCACGACCCACAGGTTGAGAACTGCTGCTCTAGTGGGTAATTTTGCATTGATAGTTACTGGCTCACAAAACACTTGATTCTCTTCTGAATCCAAGCACTTAAACATAGGGGTGTAATTTATCGAATAGAAAAGACCATAGAAACTTGGTTTTAATTCCTGAGTTATATGACCTTTATAGCTTACTGAATTTTCTAAGCCTTAGTTCCATTATCTGCAAAATGAGGCCTTTTTCAGAACTTCAACGATAGCGATTTCTTTCTGCCCCCACATTTTTACCCATGCATCTGATCCATCACACATAAAAAAGGTACCAGATTACTTAATTACTTTTAAAAGCAAAATGAAACAGAAAATTCCAACTTTAGAATTACTCTAGATTAACCTACACTTAAGCTTTAAAGAATATACATACCTGTTTCGTCTTCTGTGGGGTTTTTAGTTGGAACTAAATGGATAGCTAAAACAACAAAAATTCAGGTTGACTATAAATCCACTCTTTTTCTCATTATTGAGGTATTTCTTGACATTTTAGTTATTTGGTATGTGGTACAATTAGTATAACAGCCAAAATGACTACATAAGACTTTGCAAAAGAATGGGCACTGGGTGGCTAGGGCAGTGGTTCTCAACCTTCCTAATGCTGCAGTCCTTTAATACAGTTCCTCATGTGGTGACCCCCAACCATAAAATTATTTTCATTGCTACTTTATAACTGTAATTTTGCTACTGTTATGACTTCTAATATCTAGTATTCAGGATGTATTTAGTCAACCCCTGTGAAAGAGTCGTTCGACTCCCAAAGGGGTCGCAACCCACAGGTTGAGAACCACTGGGCTAGGGGTAACCTGGAAAATACATAAACCAAGTATTTATTCTTTTCATTTGTCATCTCTTAATCTTGTTTAGCTTACCTACTCAGAACTACCAGTGAATCTGTGGGCTTTCAGACATCAAAAATATGTCTCAGAAGTTAATGACTATTGTTAAAGTAAGGAAGTTTTATATGTTACTGATCTGACACAAATGAACAGATATCGACAAGGGAGAAAATAAGTTAGAGGCAGCTCACAAGAGCCTATTCTTCTGAGATAGATGTATTTTACAAGTATTCAAAGCTTCTTATTTTTACTGACCATTTCAAATACTTGATTAGTAATTGGTCTTTGATAGCAACTTTTGATATCTGGAAGTATGGTTTTCAGTGTTGAGTGGGCCACTTCTCTGATGTCTGATGTCAGATGCATGCAGCCCTGTCCTCAATGTGCAACAACAGCAGTGCAGCGTGGTAACTGAGGGATTGCACTGCAGAGCACAGTCCTCTAAGGAGTGGGCACAAGTGCTTTCTGGGTCAACCAGGGAAATGCTGTTGTTTGGTATCTTAGACTTGACTTTGTCAAACAGCTCTTTATGTACCTTCCTTTGTTTTTCGTATGTCAATCAATTAATAAACATAAGTAGCTTCTTAAAAAATTGTGTCTTGGCTGGCATGGTGGCCTGTAATCCCAGCACTCTGGTAGGCCGAGGCGGGTAGATTACTTGAGCTCAGGAGTTCAGCCAGCCTTAGCAAGAGCAAGACCATATTTCTAAAAATAGCCGGGTGTTGTGGCAGGTGCCTGTAGTCCCAGCTTTTTGGGAAGCTGAGGCAAGAGAATCACTGGAGCCCAAGAGTTTGAGGTTGCTGTGAGCTGTGATGCTATGGCACTCAACCCAGGGTGACCAAGTGAGACTCTATCTCAAAAAAAAGGTGTCTCAAAAGAAAATTTTTAAGAAGAGATAGAAGAACTAAAATATTGAAGGTCATATTTTTAATTGCATAAAATTTTCTTTCAGGCTACTGTTGCTGCATTTGCTGCCAGTGAAGGACATTCTCATCCTCGAGTTGTTGAGCTACCAAAAACAGAAGAAGGCCTTGGATTCAATATTATGGGGGGCAAAGAACAAAACTCTCCAATCTATATATCTCGAATAATTCCAGGTGGAATTGCTGATAGGCACGGAGGACTCAAACGAGGAGATCAGCTCCTTTCTGTGAATGGAGTGGTAAGAATGAATTTTATTTCTATTTGTAATAATGAGTTGTGACCACTTGGGGGCATATTTGAGTTACAGAAACTGAAGATGTAAGGGGAAAACCTAAGAAACTAGTTTAGAAATCCTTCAGAAGGAATCCTAGTCAGTAGTGGTTACTACTGTGATCCTTTTTTTTTTTTTTTTTTTAAGCATTTCAAGGCTGGGTATGCAGGCTCATACGTGTCATCCCAGTAGTTTGGAAGGCTAAAGCAGGAGGATCAGTTGAGGCCAGGAGTTCAAGACCAGTCTAGGCAACATAGTGAGACCCTGTCTCTATAAAAAAAATTTTTTTTTAAATTAGCCAAGCCCCCACTTGGGAGGCTGAGGTAGGTGGATTGCCTGAGCTCACGAGTTTGAGACCAGCTTGAACCAGAGTGATACCCCATCTCTAAAGAAATAGCTAGGCATTGTGGTGGGTACCTGTAGTCCCAGTTGCTTAGGAGGCTGAGGCAAGAGGATCAGTTGAGCCCAAGAGTTTGAGGTTGCTGTGAGCTATGACGTTATGGCACTCTACTGAGGGTAATCAAGTGAAACTCTGCCTCAAAAAATAATATAATAACTTAGGCAGGTGTGTTGGCACACACCTGTAGTCCTAGCTGCTGGAAGGGCTGAGGCGGAAGGATTGCTTAAACCTAGAAGATGGATGTTACAGTGAACTCTAATCATGCTGGTGTTGGGGGCCGGGAAACACAAACACTTTGTGTTTTGCTTCTTCCAGTGAAAAGTAGCGGTTTTCTCAAGGCTTAGTGTGGGTTTTTTTTGTTGTTTATTTTTTGGCTGGGGCTAGGTTTGAACCCACCACCTCCAGCATAAGGGGCCAGCACCCTACTCCTTCGAGCCACAGGCACCACCCAAGGCTTAGTGTAGTTTTATTAATGATGTAATTAAACTCTTTAATAGGTTTGGCAATACATTAAATTAGAAATCTACCCTGATTTTACTTTTGTAGAATGGCAATTGCTTGATTAATTTCTCTCTTAATATATAATAGGACATGTACAACGATGTGCTAATTGTAGTGGACCTTCCATAGCTATCCACCTCCCTACATTCCCCACTCCCTTAAGTTGACCTAATTTTTGTAGACTAGACATGTACCACAGATACACATCAGTGCAATAGGCTTAATTCCTTCTGTTGACCACCCCCAGCTGTTGACCAATTTGTTACAATCCCTTGAGTGGTCAACTTACAGAGGTTCTTCTGTATTTGGATCTTAAAAGCAATTTTAGACTATAAACAATATGATGTAGGAGAGGATTTCACAGTAACTAAAATGATAAAGCAGGATTATTTCTTAGTTTCATACTGTTGAAATGATATTAAAACTTTGTTACTTACTGTATTTTAAACATTTTTGTATTTCAGGTTACTTTCAAAACCTGGTTATTAATGAGTGTTTTTTTTTCTAGAGTGTTGAAGGAGAACATCATGAAAAAGCTGTAGAACTGCTGAAAGCTGCTCAAGGAAAGGTTAAATTAGTTGTTCGATATACACCCAAAGTCTTGGAAGAAATGGAGTCCCGCTTTGAAAAAATGAGATCAGCGAAACGCAGGCAACAGACCTAATGCAGTTCAAAATTTGATACTCCATTTTGCTTTTTAGCTAGAGAAGTTTTACTTGTGACCTACTGATGGCTGCAATGCCAATGATTGTAAAAAACAAAATCTTCCCATGAAATTCTCCTTGCCATTTTATAAATACCTATTTTAACATCATTTATGGTTCCAGAGATGCATACACTTTTTTCTGAAAAGAAAAAGTAAAAGGTGATGAGGGCAATTCTGTCCTGCTGTTTTTACAGGCCTTTTTCAAATACAGATTTTGTCATAAACTTGTTACAGATTTTTTAAGATGCTTTTTTAATATTAAGATGTACTTTTACATTCTTAATCTTTTTTTAGAAAAAAATTTTTCTTCATTTGGCTGCTTATTTAAAAGTAAGTTCTCCGGTTTTTTTGTTTTTTTGTGTTTTTTTTTTGGTTTTTTGCTTAATTACTCAATTTTTTTTAACAAGTGAAATTTCTTTACGTGTGAAATTTCCTTAATTTCCAAGAATTTAAACATAATAGTCTCACCTACAGCAGTTCATTACACTGTCAATGTTAACATCACTGCTGCATTTTGTACTTTGAACACATACATAATCAATGATAAATCATAACTCTTTACGGTGGAAGTTTTTTACTTTTAAACATGATGTTTAATGGGTATTCATTTATACTGATTGTAAAAGTAAAGTTTTTAAACACTGAAACAATCATTGCTAAAGTATGTATGCTTAATATTTGAGCATTGAGGCTGGAGGACATAATTTGGTTGTTAGCATTACATTGTTTTCTATTTATATTCAACAGTGTGTCATAAATTATACATATAACACAGGATCAGAGTTCATCTATTGCAGATTTTTAATGCTATTTTTATTTATACAGTATTTCGTATATTTTGGTCCTTTCACTCCTAGAGATGAACAACTTCTTTGGTGGGAAATAGCATAAGCAAGGAGGAAAAAGTGATACTTTCAATTTCACTAGTCTCAAGAGTTATACGTTCTTACTAGCCCAATTTAAAGAATGGATTTTAAATAGGAAGAAAATAGGATATATTTAAGATGCATAGAAATTATGAGGTGAGTACTCATAAAAAATTTGTAGAGTCTGTCAAAATAAGAACTCAAAATATTTGGATTTAGAGATGCAGTCTTAATGTTTCAAATATAACCGTGGGGATTTTAAGAGAGACTCTTAATTCATTTGTCCACTGGATGTCACTGTTTTACCAAAAGGCAGCTATTAGTGAACAGCTGGGACTAAGGTCTTCCAAAGGCCGAAATGACAAAGTGGAGGTTCATTTTAGTTACAACTTAAAGGAACATTTGTACTTTTAAAAGAATTTTTAGTGACAGATGCTAAAAAGAAGGTAATGGATTGAAAATGTAGGGAATTTGACATCATTGTTGACCTGTGTAAAAAGTGGGCATTTTGTCATATTCCTTCAGGAAGAATAGCAATGTATGCTTTTTTCTGCATGTTTCTGAGCATTGTGAGTCTTAGAGGATTATTCCAGTTTTCACTGATTTTTCAGAATAAAAGTCAATCAGCCTTGTTATTTATCATTTAGGTATTGAACACTGGATTGCATGGTTGAATGTGTCTTTAATCCACACAAAATGTGCTTGTTATTGATAGGATCATGTTGTTAAATTGTGTATTTTCAAAATTATTTGATGTTTTTAAAAAAATGTTGAGACCAAAGTAGTATAGAAGAGGTATGGACTTTATTTAATTTAATTGTATAATTATTAGAGATATTTGTTGTAGAGCTTTATATATTAAAGAGAGTTATTGGTGCATATACAAACAGTAATATTATGCTAGTATTCTTGCATTATAGGGTAAGTAAACCCTAAGAAATTTTATTTTAGTAGAGCTACAGCTGCAGTAGCTTTTAAGGATGTATCAGCATTTCATTATAAATTACAGCTTCCTGGCTCAGTGTCTCCACTGTTTCAGAACTTTCAGCCAAGTTAAATCTTTTTTGGTGTTGCAGCTTAGTAAGTTAAGCTATTTTTTTTTCTTCTACAGTAGTCCACAATCTGTTCTTTGTGTGAGTTGGCACCTGTTTGTAATTCTTATAATAAGGATAGTTTAAAGGAACCAAATACAGTAGTTTGGCTTGCTACAGTTGAGCATGAGTAGCAGTAATTTGTTTTCATTAATGCAGTTTTTATAGTGTATGCCAGAATTTTAAATCTTGACCATAGAAAATACAGTGATTCAGTGGCAATGATGTATAGTAGTGGTCCAGTATAGTGAGGAAATGAAGGGAATTTTCATCTTATGAATGGATGATTCATGAATAAAACTAGGCACACAATATATATTTGGAATTTGATCCATAAATTACAGATAGAAATTATTCCCCTTGCCCAATTTCCATTTATTTTCTTGGTATTAAAAAGAGATTGATTTAGTGGTTCTCAACCTTAGCTGCTTATTAGAATGCCTGCATAACTTTTAAAAAATATTGTTACCTTAGTCTCATTCTATAACAGCTAAATCAGAATCACTCTTTTTTCTAAAAAAAAAAAAAAAGCTTTCCAAGTAGTTTTAATAGATACCGAGGAGTCAGATTCACTAGTTTTCCCTATTATAAAATGATCTGGTTACACTGGACCCTTTGGAAGTATCAGAATAGAATAATTCAGATTGCAGCTGCTGAATGAATGATTACATCTCTTAGCGATTTCTTTAGGAACAAAAAATACTTGGCAGTCCTTATTTGGAAAATAATTACAGTCTTTTTTTATTTCTTTAAATAATACCTACCAGTAGTTTAAATGTAAACTTTTAGTGTTTATCTTTCTGCCCCCTATTGCCTTTAAAATACATAAAAATAAGTTGTATTATTAGAGAAAGCATGTTTAAAAATTGCAGATGAGAAATACTGTCATTGATAATTATGTGCTGTCCTAACGTGGCCACTTTATCCATTAGTATAATACTGATTATAACCTACTTCTTTAGGATTTGATGTATGTGAGACAGAGAGAGAGTGTGTGTTTTAAATCATGTCCTCCTCTTCTAAATTTTTTTGCTCAAGTATTTAAGTAATTTGGCTCAAGTGCTTTGTTTACAATTAAAGTGGATATTATAGCATTTAATAGAAGGAATGGTTATGGCTTATCTGACAAGAATGTTAGCATGCCTTGGTGTAGATGTGAAAGAATACCTGTTGTGAATTTTTTATAATGTGGAATGATCGTTGAAATATCAAGAACTCTAGTAATTGCATTTCCTGAATAAATGTATGTTTATGAATTTTCTAACATCCTGTTGTCTCCTCTGTCAACAGTCTGGTTTTATAGTTTTTATTATCTAAAATTCACTAGTAGTGTATCTTCAAAGGCTGTTGCAGTTACGGTTAAATAGTGGAAAAAACCAAATCACTTAATCATTAATTTTCAAGAACTTTCAAACTAATTTGTATATGGATATGGTTTTTAAAAATACTGGCAAATGTTACGCTTCTACTTTTTTAGTTTGTGATAAATATATTCCAAATGGATGTAAAATAACACTTTTCAATACATGACTTCGTTTATCCATGTAATTCTGGTTTTAAGGCTTATTTAAATAAATTTGTATGAGCTATGTCCTTGTTCTTGAGATTTGAAAAATGGATGTAACTACACAATAGATAATGTTTCTCAAGGTTATGTATAAAGCAACTTTTACATAAGCGTAATTCATGGTGGCTGCTGAAATGCAAGTTTGACTTTCTGTATTTGCTTTGTCTTTCATAAAATTTAACTAAAGAAAATGTTTTCTTGTGTTATTTCAAACATGGCAAGTATGACATGAGAGCACAGATTCTGAAGCCCAGCAATTCTGGTTTGTATCCCAGTTCCACCATTATTGGGAATTAACCTTAGACTAATTACCTATCTTCTCCATGCTAAGAGTGCCTGTACGTGTTAGGCCATGTGTATAGAAAGCCCTTACAAAAGTGCCTGGCAGAGTACTACTTGTATTTGCTTTTTTTAATATAAAATAGCTTCAGGACCTAATAAGGTAAAGGAAATAATTCCGGTCAAATAATTAAAATTAGCAAGTTCTTGTTTTTGATGCCAAGAAAACAGGTGAGCTTTAAAATACTCTTGAAAACTTTAGGAAGAATAAAATTCATAAGGAATAATCAGATTTCTGTCAGAAATCAGAGTGTTACTTCAGGTAACCCATGGAGTTTTTAGGGTTGAAGCCACATTCAAAATGAAACCCTTAAAAAATAAATCCAAATAAAGCTTTGGTAAATGGGAAAGGTAATTTGTAAGGAAAAGATGACTTAACTCTAGAGAGTGGATTACTGGAATGAGTGTTAGTACAAAGCATCACACCATCGTGATGAACTTTAAAAAGCCTAGAAATCTGCCAACTAACCAGGATACAGCAAAAAGCATTTAGTGTTAGACCTCAGTTTCTTCACAACTTTTAAAGCAGCTATGGAAAACTGATACAAGAATCTGCCTTTCCCAAAAGGAGTATTGAAGCACAATTAAATCTGCAACAAAGCGTTTCCAATAGCAATTGTTTTCACTAAGAAAAGATGAGAATCTTGGCCCTTGGGGATGAGGAGAATACTGTGTTTTCCATGGTTGAGATGCTTCCTTAGAAACCTGCGTAGCTGTGCGATTGAGCTTGTTTTTCCAAGTCCCCTCCTGGGTTCACCAGCCCCTCAGCTTCCTGATTTTAGACTGTTTTGTATGGCTACATCACTCTCAACACAAGGTCTTACCAGGAGTTGGCATTGTCAGGTAATCCTGTCCTTCAGCACTGAGGGGAGAAGTTTCTGCAGCAGCCCTTGAGCGTGGTGGAATTTGTATTTGGCTGGAGGTGTTTCACCCTCTAAAGGTTTGTGGAAGCTCCTTACCATCCATTCGTCTGATGCAATGAGAACTGATTGTCTTGCTCCCTCCTTAAAAACTCCATTGCACTTGGGATAAAATCCAAACACGTTGGCATGACCTAAAATCTTTTGCATGCTCCATTCCCTCCTTCCTGTCAGGCCTCGTCTCAGTCCACTGCCCCACTCTCGTTCTCCCTTACACCAGATTCCCCTCTGGTCCTTCCAGTAAGTGGTTGCCCCTCATTCAAGTGTCAGCCGAAGTTGCCACTTCTGTTAGGTCCGCTACATCTAAAGGTCGGTTCCTCATACTCGGCTAGAATGGTAATCTCTTGTTTATATTAACATGCTTAATTGTGTCTTTTCCATAAGAATTTAAGTTCCATGACATCAAGACAGATCACAACCATACCCCCCTTCACTTAGCACTGTGCCTAAAACATGGTATCGTTTTACTTGTTATTCCTTGTTGAATTGGCTTATTTTCCAGTGGCTGCCGTAGCTCAGTGGGTAGGGTGACGGCCTACAATGACAACTGCAACAAAAAATAGCCAGGTATTTTGGTGGGCACCTGTAGTCCCAGCTACTTGGGAGGCTGAGACAAGAGAATTGTTTCGGCATGGCGCCTGTGGCTCAAGTGGCTAAGGCGCCAGCCACATACATCTAAGGTGGTGGGTTCAAATCCCCAGCCCAGACCGCCAAACAACAATGACGGCTGCAACCAAAAAATAGCCGGGCGTTGTGG